TTTGAATGTCTCAACTATTCCCTCTCCAATTCTCTTCAGTGAAAAGTTGCTTTATTTCAATTATGTTCCTCAACAGTCTGTGACCCTTCTATTTCACACCAAAAAAAGATAATCCAGCATGCATGTTTAATGTTCCATTTACTGATAACTCAAATGATTCTCCATCTTGTGGAAACAAGAACTTGGATGAGGGAGAAGAATGTGATTGTGGCCCTGCTCAGGTATTTGCTAATGATGCTGTCTTTTTTCTTTTAATATATTCTTATTAATTTCAGAGCGGAAGGGAGAGGGAGAGAGAGATAGAAACACCAATGATGAGAAAGAATCATTGATCAGCTGCCTCCTGCATGCCCCCCTTTGGGGATGGAGCCCACAACTTGGGCATGTGCCCTTGATTGGAATCCAACCCGGGACCCTTCAGTCGCAGGACAACTCTCTATCCACTGAGGCAGACTGGCCAGGGCACGTCTTTAAAGTACAAAGTTTGTGCTCAGCTAGAACCTAGGCAGGGATGTAGCCATCAATCAGCCATGAAATTCCTTGTAAAACTTTAAAGACTGTGTTTCCTTTTTCTCATTTGGAAACAGGCTGTTGGTGCAGCCTTATCAAGGCTTCCTACCGAGTAATAAATTGTGTATAATGATCTTGCTGGAGGTCCACTCCATCACAGTCACTGCTTTATATATTAACTAGAGGCCCGATGCACAAAATTCGTGCAAGAGTAGGCTTTCCTTCCCCCGGCGGCCGGCACCGGCTTCTCTCTGGCACCCGGGACCCGGGCTTCTCTTCAGCCCCAGCTTGGTCTGGAAGAATGTCCGGGATGACATCCAGAATGATGTCCAGTCTAATTAGCATTTACCCTTTTATTATTATAGATTGGCTCTTCTTGTAAGTAGGGCCCATTTGTGTCATTCTCTGGTCTTTCATGAATAGTAGGAATTCACTCTACAAAATCCTTCACAGTCAATCCTGTTTTGCTCTGGAAATTATGAGGTTAGCTATAGCCTGGTGTGACAGCTCATGTTATTAAAAAAACTGTCTTATAATTGAGCAGGAAACTTCTAACCTTTCATATATGTATTGCAGTCTTAGCCTCTGAAACATTTAGAATAATCCTTTGAGGCAAATTTTAAAGTAACTCTTCATCAGCTTTTCTTCAACATAGAGTTTTTTATTTCAAGAAATTGTCTTAGACAATTTCTTCTCAAATTACCAAGTACAGATGCATCAGCTGGAGATGTTGATAAAATGTGGTTTTTTTATTCAATTGGTCTGGAGTGGGCTGAGATATTTCATTCCTACCAACTTGAAAGATTATACTGATGCTGCAGGTCCAAAGACCTCATTCTGGGTATGTGCACTGGAGACGTGACACAACTCCAAATCATAAGAAACTCACACCTGAAACCTATATGATATGTTGACCAATGCCACCCCAATAAATTTAATTTTTTAAAAAAGTCTAGTAGGATGGCAATTAAGGGACTCCACAATCAGAGTGGGAACAAAACATCAAGGTTACAAAACATCCTTAGGTTACAAAACATCAAGTCTTCAAATGTCTTTCATGAAATGTACAGAGGCTTTAACTTTGAAATTGATGCCTTTGTCCATGCAGCTTCTTTGTAATGGTTCACAGTTTCACCCTCACATATGAAGTAACTCACATGACCAGAGGCAGACAGTTCTGTTTGCAGTTTAAATTATGAGCAGATAGAGCCTATGTGTCCAACTTGCTGTTATTATTTAATTATGCATTAAAAAGTAAATGCCAGCCTGAAATACTTGGATTCTTAAGGAAAATGTGAAATCAGATCTTCAGAAGTTGTATTATCTCACATCAAACCTTTAGAATAGAGAAGCAGCAAGACCCTCCCGGAGAGCGGTCATCAGGAGAATGGGAGGTCATGAACTTTGGGATACTGAGCAACCAGGTGGGAAGAAAACAAAGTAAAAGTCCCCAACACCAATGGCAAGCAGTAGTCTTTATAACGGCTTGGCAAAAGTAGGTTTACAGTAGCGAGTATGCAAACACAGAGTTCATTATTGTATTCTTATTTATTATTGTACTAGAGGTCCGGTACACGAATTTGTGCACAGGTGGGGGGGTCCCTTGGCCTGACCTGTGATTGGGGCCCATTTTGGCTGGGCTGGTGGAGAGAGGAGGGATGGGCCATGGGAGGTTGGCCAGCTGACCGGCTCCCTGATCGGGCTGATCCAATTGTCAGGGCTGGCCAGCTGCGGGGAGGGAACATGGGAGGTTGGCCACCAACCCCACCTCATCTGGGCCAATTGGGGCTGGCTGGCTGTGGAGAGGAACTGGGGGAAGGTTGGCCAGTCACGGGAGGTTGTCTGTGGGAGCCAACTGACCACCAGGGGGCAGCTCTTGTGTTGAGTGTCTGCCCCCTGGAGGTCAGTGTGTGTCATAGCGACAGGTCATTCTGGTTGTTCGGTCGTAACAGTTGCTTAGACTTTTATATATATAGATTATTTTCCATACGAATAACTGTAAACCTACTTCTGCCCCACCTTGTATAGCTGTTGTAGCTAAGGACCATGCAATTGTATTTATTTAACTCTGAAACACAAGTGATGCTAAATTTCTCAAAAGCACAGCTGATTAACTTTTCAAACAGGAGCCAAACTGCAATCCAATTTCTGATTTTTAATTTTTGGTTATTGCCAGGAGTGCACCAATCCTTGCTGTGATGCCAACAAGTGTCTGTTGAAGCCAGGATTTTCTTGTGCAGAAGGAGAATGCTGTGAATCTTGTCAAGTAAGATCCGTTGCTAGCTCCAGATTTCTCTGTATGTAGTTGAATATGTGAACAAAGGACCAACGTGCTGTCTGACCACTAAAATCCTTTGCCACGAATCCCAGACTCGGGCTCGGCTTGCTTATACACAACAGCACCTCTTCTGAGATGCTCTGACTTCTGGGCAGTGTTTTGGTCTGGGAAGTGAAGAAGTGGGTATGCATTGCTTGGTGTTTCAGAAATGGAGTTACATGGCTAACATTATTCTTGCTTCTTTTAAATCATTACCAAACTATTCAACCTCAGGTTGGGGTGGGGGTGTGGATTGGCATCCCAACAAGAGTGAACAAACAGGGGAAAGGGTTATGCTGTAATTGGAGATATGTTTCTAGGCAAGATGACCCGAAATCCCAATGGCTCTGTGCAAGTATTTATTGACACTTCTTTTACCCCACTAGATTGTGAAATCACAAGGAAAAGGGAAGCATGTCTTACTCATCTTGAAATAGTTTCAGAACTCAGCACAATTCAATGCAGATTGAATGGCTGAATGAGGGAATACGTCCATGCAGTGCCCTCCAGTGAGAGTCAGGGGATGGTTCTACTTCATGGGAGAAATCTGATTCTTGGGAATGGAGATTCCTCCTGATAGGCAGGGGCCTCCAGGTCTGTGTGTGTGTGTGTGTGTGTGTGTGTGTGTGTGTGTGGTGGTGGTGGTGGTGGTTGGGGGAGGGGAGAAGTGCTGGAGCAAGGATTGAAGAAGACAAGATGAACAGAACATTTATTCATTGCTCAATTTATGTCCATCCCAACTCTGCCCAATGCTGTCCTAATACCAAATCTCAAAAACACCATCTTGGCATTGCTTCAATGAATAAAAGCCAAAGCATTCACAAATGATGATAATTCTCAGTGGAATGGAAAAGGAAGGTATGATTCAGTCCTAAACACTTTTTGAGATAAATTAAATGGGTCAATCTTCCTCCTATTTATTGAACCTTACCTATCTAGATTTGCCCAAGATTTAATCTGTTTGGTTTTCTTCAACAGATGAAAAAAGCAGGGTCCTTATGCAGACCAGCAAAAGATGAATGTGATTTTCCTGAAGCGTGTACGGGCCACTCCTCTGCGTGTCCACAGGACCAATTCCAAGCCAATGGAACTCCTTGCAAGAATGCAAAAGGCTACTGCTTCCTGGGGAGATGTCCCACCCGGGACGACCAGTGCTCCGAATTATTTGATCATGGTGAGAGACAGTTACTGTGGGTGACTGATAATGCTAATAGCCATTATTTCTCTGTTATTCTTCAAAATAATGCCATGTGTGTAATTTTTAAAAAATATATATTTTATTGATTTTTCACAGAGAGGAAGGGAGAGAGATAGAGAGAGTTAGAAACATCAATGAGAGAGAAACATCGATCAGCTGCTTCTTGCACATCACCCACCGGGGATGTGTCCGCAACCCAGGTACATGCCCTTGACCGGAATCGAACCCGGGACCTCCCAGTCCGCAGGCTGACGCTCTATCCACTGAGCCAAACCGGTTTTGGCCATGTGTGTAATTTTTTAAAGATATTTCCTAGCACCTCTTCACATATTACCTTTAATGTTAATTGACATTGCCTCTAATATTAATTGACTATCTCAGTATGTGGATTAAGGTATGTTTATTACTTTTATATGCCCATACTACATATCATCTGAGGGAATAGAATAATTTTTAAATTAGCTATTTATTCCATTCTGCTTCACCATTACATAATATTGAAATTTCAATTACATCAGAAAAAAATAAAGTAGTTTATAATAAACAATATTCATGCTTTCATTGTTTTACTTTTATTATATCATTTTGTATCCCAGAAGCAAAAGGAAGTCCTGATATCTGCTACATCATGAATAAAAAGGGAGATAAATTCGGATACTGCAAAAGCAAGAAAAGCAAATTAATTCCCTGTGAAGACAAGTAAGTGCCTTGTGAAGAAAAATCAGTGCCCTCCAAGAATGTTTTGCCAGATCAGAGCGGCTCTTGTTCTTTCAGCTGTTAACTTCTTTTTGCTGAGGTGACTGGGACGATGGAAGTGGAAAGGGAGAGAGCACGCATCCCTGACAGTGTCAGCTGGCATTTATGTACTGTATTCATTTGCTGAAGGTCACAGACTATAAGGAGGAAAGATAGGAAAGATGTTATGTTCTTCAGAGGGGAAGGGAGGAATAAAAAAGAGAAAGGAGCAAATAGGAGGAAGAAGAAAATAAGTA